GACCTAGTCATATTAAGTGTTCTTAGAACTAGCAAAGGACTTCTGGCCAAGATAGAGGTGTGGGTTGAAACACTGTTCCTCCTCGCACAACCAAGTTTAAAGACAACAAAGTTTTAGTAACAAAAACGCAGCCAGAACACAAAAATTGAACTGTATGGAAGTCCAACAACAATGAACCATTCAGCCAGACCGGTAAGAAGGGCGAAGTCAGTGGCGGAGCGGGGTCAGGCAGGAAAGATCAGTGGACAGACCCAGGAGCACAAGCGGTGGTTGGCGGATCCCAGGCACAGGTGGCAGCGGGCAGACCCAGTGAGGGCGCAGGGTGGCTGGCTGACTGCGGTCAGGCATTCAAGTGCAGATAAACCAAGTGAAGGAGCGAGCAGGGAGACAGACCACACAGGCTAGGGCCCCAGCAATGGGAATTAGAGCCTGAAAGCACCAACTGGAAAGACTTCTGGGGTCGAGGTGCCATGAGAGTTCGTTGGAGAGACCCACAGGGTCCTGGAGGATACACAAGCCCACACACCAGAGAACCAGCACCAGAAGGGCCCAATTTGCTTGCGGGAAGCAGCAGAGGGGACAGAAATCTGAGAGAGAGCAGAACAAATGCCATTGCCCCTCTCTGACCCCATCCCACATACAGCATCACAACCCAGCAGCTTGGGTTGCTCCACCCTGGTGAACACCTAAGGCGCCGCTCGTCATACGTAACAGGCACAAACAGATAAAAACATGGCTCAAGAAACTCTCAGAGCCCCAGAGCCGATAAATCTAAGCGACGAAGAAATAGCCAAACTTTCAGATGCACAGTTCAAAACACTGGTGATCAGGATGCTCCCAGAACTGGTTGATTTTAGTCACAAATTAGATGAAAAAAATGAAGGCTACAATAAGTGAAATGAAGTGAAATCCACAGGGAACCAATAGTGATGGAAACAAATCTGGGACTAAAATCAATGGAGTGGACCAGAAGGAAAATACAAATGACCAAACAAAAGAATGAAGAAACACGAATTTAAAAAAATGAGGAGAGGTTTAGGAACCTCCAGGACATCTTTAAACGTTCCAACATCCAGATTATAGGGGTACCAGAAGGGGAAGAAGAGGAACAAGTGGAAAACTTATTTTTAACAAATAATAAAGGAGAACTTCCCCAATCTGGCAAAGGCAACAGACTTCCAGGAAACCCAGGAAGCTCAGAGAGTTCCAAAGAAGTTGGACCCAAGAAGGAACACATCAAGGCACACCATAATTACATTAGCCAAGATTAAAATGAAGGAGAGAATCCTAGAAGCAGCAAGAGATAAGGGGACTGTCACATACAAAGGAGTTCCCATCAGACTGTCAGCAGATTTCTCAAAAGAGACCTTACAGGCAAGAAGGGGCTCGAAAGAAGTATTCCAAGTCATGAAATCCAAAGACCTACATCCAAGATTGCTCTATCCAGCAAAGCTTTCATTTAGAATGGAAGGACAGATAAAGTGCTTCTCAGATAAGATAAAATTCAAGGAGTTCATCATCACCAAACCCTTATTATATGAAATCTTAAAAGGGACTTATCTAAGAAAAAGATAAAAAATATGAACAGTGGAAGGACAACAAACTCACAGTTATTAACAACCACACCTAAAACAAAAGCAAACTAAGAGGACAGCTAAATCAGGAGCAGAACCATAGAAATGGAGATCACATGGAGGGTTAGCAACAGGGGAGAGGAGAAGGGGGGAGAAGGTACAGAGAATAAGTAGCATAGACGGTAGGTAGAAAATAGATAGGGGGAACGCAAGAACAGTATGGGAAATATAGACTCTAAAGACCTTGTGATACATGGACATAAACAAAAGGGGGGATGGTGGGGGAGGGGTGTGCAGGGTGGGCAGAATAGGACAATTGTAATGGCATAATCAATAAAATATATTCTTTTAAAAAAGAACTAGAAGAAATGATCCAAATCCCCTTAAGGACAAAACATTAAAATGTAAACATGCTGGTTCCTTGAAACATTTGAAGTTAAATAATTATCTTTCCCATTATGCTCAGACATATGAGGTCTGCTTTTTCTGTTCCAACCAAGACCCAAACCATGGACATGAAGCTCCCATGGTGCCCTCAAAAATGTGGAATCAATCTATCCTGTTTTAGAGCAACGCTATTTAAGGCTGGCACGCACTGAGATAAAGAGCTTGTCCCACAGCACAAATAACGCACTGCTTTCCTCATGAAAATCTTGTTATGAAAAAGCTAACTGAACACAACCATGTATTTACTGATGCAGTTTATTTAGATTTGGATGCAGTCTGGTTCTCTCACTGTGGACCAATAACAAGGTCCATGCCAGCTCTTCTGCAAACCAAGCAGCACTGTTTCAGAGCGGTTTTAATTGTTTCCTTATTGAACTCCCCATGCACTCTTTTCTCATAGTTGAATAAAAAGGGAATATAGGAAAAAATACCAGCTTATTTTTAATAAGAACTACTTTTTATCATCTCAGATAAAAACCTGAGAGGTGTTTCATGTCACAGAACCCTAACTTTTTTGCCTTTTAAGTATAAAGTAAAAATAGAGTATGAACTAAATTCAACTACTGTTATTTCATCTAGGGGTTAACAATGTTTCATTATACAAGTATCAAGGGATAAGATTAATATGTTATTAGAAGTTAACCATTATCTAGTCATTTGCATAATATGATTTAACACCTGATATGACCAGACCCACAGAAAACCTACATTGCTATGAAATTTACATTTATGGCTTTAAAGTAGGTATTACAATAATTCTGGCTCTCTGTGGACTTAAAAATAAGTGAATGCCTTTTGTAGAAAAGGTTGACTCAGTATACCATTCATCAACCTAAGTCCTGCAATGTAAAAGCACACATCACTCTATGTTCTATTTATTTAGTGTTCTTTTCTGAGTCCTCTAAGGTGCTTAGCCTAAAACGTATTTGTGTTAGGAATAAGCCCATTAGGAAATTGAAACAAGTAAAAGGACTTCTTTTTTCCAGACCTTAGGGTTTATTTGATCTGTGATTATCTTGCTTTGTAGACTAATTTCCACAGAGTAGTGCTGCAGCGGGAAATTTACAGGCCTCCAAGAAGCAGACCCTGACAACTTCCACTTCTTTTGTTTGTTCTGTTTGTAAAACATCTGCTTTCACATTTGATAAGACTGCCTTCCTTTTAACAGTTTTTTTTTATTACTTAGTATTCCTGCATCAAAATGTATATTAAAGTGAAGGCTACATTTACATTGAAAATGAATTACAGTCCTCAAATAAAAGTTAATAACGTAAGCAGCCAAGAGCTTTACTGGCACATTACATTTTGCAAAACTCATCAGTGTGGTGGCATACTATTCAAGGACGTTAGGAGGACATGAGTATGAAATCTGTTTCCTGATTATTTTGTATTCTCTAGTGAATTCATTCTTTCTTCTCTAAGATACCAACTGTGTTCCTTCTACGACAGCAACTCTCACTGTAGTGAAGTAAGTGCTGCCAAGGAAGAGACCAGTTGAGTTGCTAGCTATAATTTTCATTCTGCTTTCTCCTAGCAGTCTCTATTTCGTAATTGTTTATTCTGTCTCAAGTGATTTACATTTATTTAATCACGACTGGCTGTTTGTGTTCTTTTGGTATGGTACTATAAATTTCTTAATGGCAGGAATCCAGTCATTCAATTGTTTTGCCTAAGGGGCCCGGCAGACAAGGCCATTTTCCAGCGAGGTGGACTTCAGTGCATACCTGGTATACAGGTTACATACACCCAGTCAACACGTGGCTGTGTAGGGATATTTGCATTCTCAGCAGCAATAAGGTCACACACACACAAATTTACATATTTGTTTTTACTGTTTACATCAACTCAATCCTTTTAAGCTGTAATAATCTTTTTAATTATCTTTTCAACAAAGTAAATGGTTATTTCATCAATGCCTTTACCATTTAGCTTTCCTAAAAATGCTAGTCATTAAATTTTTTAAAAAATTCTACCATTATAAAGTGCTCACATTTACTTAACCTGCTGTTCGAGTGTTCTGGTAGACACTTCAGTTCATTGCATGCTTACAGTTAGTGAATGACAGGCACTTAGCATCGGTGAGGAAACCAGCTCATCGTCCACGACAGCCCTCATTCCAGAGTTCACCATAAACAAAACAAAACCAGGGCTGCAACGACCACTGGACACAGCTTCATACTGGAATTTTTTTTCTCCTTTTCATTTGGAAAGAAAAACAGTGGATAACTTTGAAACCTGGGATGCTTCTGTAAGATCTAAAACAGAAAAAGCTTTATCAATCCCTTTACGAGGTCTGGGGTGAATATACCAAGGAAATCTGTAAGATTATGGAATGTTATTTCCTTCTGAAATAGATATTATTTCTATACTACCTGATAAAATAGATATGGAAATAAAGGTTGGTTTTTGTCCTTTGAACCCCTATTTTATTTCTATACTTTTAAATTAACACTGCTTTCTTCAAAGTAAGTTTTTTTAAAAAAATCACCTATGGCGCCCTAGTTGGTGTGGCTCAGTGGATTGAGTGCTGGCCGGCCTGTGAACCAGAAGGTCACTGGTTCAATTCCCAGGCAGGGCACATGCCTGGGCTGTGGGCCGGGTTGGCAGTTGAGGTCGTGCAAGAGACAACCACACATCAATGTTTCTCTCCCTTTCTCTCCCCTTCCTCCTCTAAAAATAAATAAAACCTTTAAAAAAAAAATCACCTATGGCCCAAAATTTAACTCAAGGTTTGAATTCTCAGTAATATTTTTTAAAATATATTTTATTATGCTGTTACAATCATCCCATTTTTTAATCCCTTGTCCCCCTCTGCCCTACACTCCCTCCTTTCAGCACTGCCCCCACCCACTGTAGTTCATGGTCATGCATCGTACATTTAAGTTCTTGGGCTTCTCCATTTCCTAGAGTATTCTTACCCCCCCCCCCCCCCGTCTATTTTGTACCTACCAATTATGCTTCTTACTCCCTGTACCTTTTCCCCCCATTATCTCCCCTCCCCACTGATAATCCTTGATGTGATCTCCATTTCTGTGATTTTGTTCCTGTTCTAGTTGTTTGCTTAGTTTGGCTTTTTTTTAGCTTCAGTTGATACAACAGTTGTAAGTTTGTCGTCATCTTACTGTTCATAGTTTTGATCTTCTTTTTCTTAGATAAGTCCCTCTAACATTTTGTATAAGGGCTTGGTGATGATGAACTCCTCGAACTTGACCTTATCTGAGAAGCACTCTATCTGCCCTTCCATTCTAAATAAAAGCCTTGCTGGATAGAGTCATCTTGGATGTAGGTCATTGCTTTTAATGATTTCAAATACTTCTTTTCAGCCCCTCCTTGCGTGCAAGGTTCCTTTTGAGAAATCAACTGATTGTCTTATGGAAACTTCTTTGTAGGTAACTGTCTTCTTTTCTCTGCTGCTTTTAAGAGTCTCTCCTTTAATCTTGGGTAATTTAATTATGATGTGCCTTGATGTGTCCTTCCTTGGTTCCATCCTCTTTGGGACGCTCTGGGATTCCTGGAAGTCTATTTCCTCTGCCAGATTGGGGAAGTTCTCCTTCATTGCTTGTTCAAATAAGTTTTTCCATTTCTTGCTATTCCTCTTCTCCTTCTAGCACCCCTATGATTTGGATGTTGGAATGCATAAAGTTATCTCAGAGGTTCCTAACCTCTCATTTCTTTTAATTCATTTCTTCATTCTGTTCCAGTGGAATGTGTATTTCTTCTTTCTGTTCCAAGTTGTTGAGTCCTGGTTTCCTTCCTTCACTGTTGGTTCCCTGTATATTATTATTTCACTTTGTAGAGGCTTCACTTCTTAATTTTTCAAGCATACTCAACCATTTCTAAGAGCATTCTGATTACCGGTGTTTTGAATTCTGCATCTATCTCCTTGTCACTTAGTTCTTTTCCTGGCGTTTTGATCTGTTCTTTCATTTGGGCCATATTTCTTTGTCTTGGTATACCTGTTACATTGTAAGAGGCAGAGCCTTAGGTATTCTCCAGGACAGAGAAACACTTGTCTGCGTGTGGCTCTGTATGTAGAGGCCAGGGATCCGAGAGGGAACAATGCTGCTTGCTTGGCTCTTGCCCCGCTTTAAGTCAATTCCTTGGCTCCCCACAAGTGGATTGAACCCTTTCAGGTGCTTCCCTGGTGCTGATTCCCGGGCAGTTGGGCTTGCGTACATTCTAGGATCCCTGGGACCTTTTCAACGAACTCTTCTGTGAGACTGGGAGTTTCTCCCACTGCTGCAACCCCCACAGAATTTTAAAGCCAGAGGTTCTAAAGCTTTAGTTTCCCACACTGGAACCCTAGTTTTCAAGTCTGTCTCGCTCCCCAGTTGTTCCTCTTGGCTTATGCGCATGCGAATGTGGGACCACCCATCCACCTCCTGCCTCACCCACCTGGATTGCCAGCTGCCTCCTTGCCACGTATCCTCTCCACCCTGGCTTCCCATATCCACCCCTCCCACTGGTCTGGATGAATATTTCTTTAACTCCTTGGTTGTCATACTCCAATACAGTACAATTTTCTGGCAGTCATTCTGGTTGGTTTTTGTTTTTAAAGTGGTCGTTAACTTTTTTTTGGTTGTGTGAGAAAGTGAAGCATTATCTACCTATGCCTCTATCTTGGCTGGAACTCAATTCTCAATCTTCCCTACTAAAACAGTCGTGGTGGAACAAAGGGTAGCTGAGAAAAAAGACCCACTGATTTCTTTTCACCTTCTTTCCCAGAGAATTAATCAAATTCTTTGTTAAAGATTTAAATACTGCATAAAGGATAAAGAGTCTTTGTGTGAATTAGGATTCACCATAAGAAATATAAAAGTTAGCCCGAGGGTCACTAACATACTTAATTAGGGTCGCAGCTTTCTAATACTACACTCTACTTTTTAATATTTTTTCAAAATCTTATTGTAATAACCTCATAACTATAGAGGAAAGTTGTAGAGCTCCCTTTGAATGAAACATATTTTGACTGATTAAATAGCTGGGAGTTCACAGAGCCTAAATTTTTCTTCCATAAAAATGAGCTATTAAGAGTAAATAAAGCCCTGGCCGGTGTAGCTCAGTGGATTGAGCACAGGCCTGCAAACCAAAGGATCGAGGTTCGATTCCCAGTCAGGACACATGCCTGGGCTGCAGGCCAGTTACCAGCAGAGGATGCACAAAAGGCAACGATACATTGATATTTCTCTCCCTCGCTCCTTCCCTTCCCCTCTAAAGATAAATAAATACAATCTTAAAAAAAAATGAAAAACAAGACAATAGACTGTAACATAAAAAGAAATAACCTATTATCACTATAGTATGCATGCACATTCAAACATGGAAAATACCACACAGGAAACAAACATTTTTTAAAAAGTTTAAGATCATAAATAGGTCATTGTCACAACACATTTCAGAATTGAAAAAACAAACATTTTGGCTTTTTAGGAAAAGGATTTCTTTTAAAAAATCAATTCCCTCATCATTGAAAGGACTTGTGCATTTTAAAATTTCCAGTCTCCTAAGGCACAATATTTATTTAATCAGAATGCCAATATCATCACCCTGCTTTAGAAAGAATGAGGCAAGGCATTAGCACTAATAAAAACTAAATTTGATGGACAAAATCATCAATCATTTAAGAAAAAGGACAAAGAAACAGACCAAGTGATGATCATTTTCGTTGAGAACCTCAGTGTTGTTATGTAGAACTGTTAAAAATTTTCTAAGATCAAACTATTTTACCTCAAACAGATTAAAGTGTACTTTCTTTTAAAAGGACTTGGGAGGAAAAAAAAATAAATTTAAAGAGGTATGCGGAGGGGTAAGCTTTGTATGGGACCCAGAGCAGAGGCCTAGTTCATTCCTAGTCTTCAGGCAGACCCAGAAAATAAGGCATTCCAGCCCACCCCCCACCAACTGAGATGCAGCGATATACTATGATCAGATGTTTACACTTTTTATCTAACCAAAAAGTTCTTTAAAATGTAACAAATATAAAAATTCCTCATTTTTAAGTCTGCCTTAATTTGTCCTCTGTGATATCAACTGAACTTTAAGGTTTTGTATGTACAGTGTGGTGATTTAGTGTTACTTTTAGAAGAAAAAATACCTACAAAGTTAGTGATTGTCCACAGATGAAATATGGGGTGAGGTTCATAACTGAATCAACCATGGAGTGTTATGTTAGTCCACTGTAAACTCTTAAAAGTTAAGACTGGGAACTGTGTGTATCAGACACATCCGAGTACAAAAGGAGAGGAGAGAAGCCTGTCTGTCATTCCAATTCCGACAAGGTGCACGGTCTTCGAAATTCCTGTCCACGTTCATGGAGCCATTTATTGGATACTATAAGAGAACAAAATATATTAACTCACTGGTAAGAACTAGGTCTTTAGTAAAGTTTTTAAATGGGCTAAAAGTTCAAGACCACAACTAGACAAAGGCCGATGCTACTTAGGCAGTCTTTCAAATACTTCACTAAATGTTGGAAACACAAAAAATTTTAGACATGTGTACATTTGAGAGTCTATATATGTGAATTTCCTAAAGTTTCTAATGTTTAATGTAAGGCTTGAAATGAAACACATTTTAAAAATGAACACAAAGTCTTCACTCTAAAGGAGCAACTCTCTGATCAATCACTACTATTATGTGTTCATTATTTCCTTGGTCCATGATACCGTTTTCTACTGTGACCCCAAAGCAACTGATTTCCTATTCCTTCTTCTGTATCATAGAACCTAATCAATAGCAGCAACATGTACAAAATATCTAAACTGGGACCCCTAGTAACTCTTAACTATTCTTTTACCTTTCTCAGCTCCTGTATCTAATCTTTAATTAGTCAAACCTGGTCAATTTGCTGAATCTTTTCTTTGGTTTCCTACCCTTGTGCTGCTTCCTTAGTCCACGCTTTCATCATCGCCCACTTAAGACAATAGAAAAACCTTTCTAAACCAATCTCTCCTTCACTAGCCCCTCTTCATCCTAGTCCAGTGGTTCTTAAACATAATTGTCAGAGAAGATTTTAAACCTCTGATGATCAGGTGTTACTCCTTAACCTTCCTGTGTCCAACACGGTAGCTACTACACACATGTGGCTACCGAGTACTCGAAATGCGGCTCGTGACACACGTTAAAGTGGATCTATGGGGTTAAATGATATGTTGAAATAACTGCATCTCGTTCTTTCTATTTTTTTTTTAAATGTGGCAACACCTACACTTCATGACCTTGACAATAAGCGCCTCTCTCGTCTCTTAATAGTCCCAGACTTGGATCCTGACATGCCTAGAAAACTATTGCTCTATCTCCAAAACCAAATTTAAAAATAAGCTTTGAAGAAGCCTCCCCGAAGGTAAGAAGCTGCCCTCTTCTGTTTTCATCTTTGTATTAGTATGTGCTACACTACAATTTTTCCATTAGTATTCTCAATCAGCTACAACTGTGAACCCATTAAGGGAAAGATATCATCTTAAAATAACTTAAGACTCCAAGTAAGGAGTCTTAAAATAACAAGTGGAAATATTATTGAAAATAAAACTCATCATCAAAATTCTGATCTGTTAAAAGCAAATTTATGTTAAGATGAGAAACTTGCTTGGTTGAATCTTCATTCTGTGTTAAAGTCATAGCATGCAAATCTGTCAAAAGTTTTGTTTTCAATTTCTTTTAAGATGTAGATAATTTTAAAATATGAAACAAAAATCACAAATTCTATTCAGAGAATACAGAAAATATTTACCCCATTTGTTTCCAACCAGCACTGGACACGCTGCGTGCCGTGTACTATAGTCTCCTTCTCCACTGGCAAACAGATTATACCAGAAAACAGCAGTTCCCTGTGGAGAACAATACAAAATTATCCTCAAATAAAATATCAGGTTATAACTTCTTCAGTGAATTTTCCTCTTCTCCTGTGAAACTACTCCTCTATGGCAGCTATAGCTTCCTCTAATAAATATAATTCTGAAGCTATGAGTGTCATGTACAAAATATTAGTGATCACATGAAAACACTGATACTACAAAGTTGCTTGCCAAAAAAGGAGACTCGTCAAAACAAATCTTGCAACAGCAGGATGGAGGGGGAAACATCACATGAAACCCATATTAGAAATGAAAACGTTTAAATACTAAACCGTGGTGGTTCATTACCTCAAGGTACTCCTAGTAAATTGTACCATAAAAATATCCATAATTTTACCTAAAGATAATATAGTCCTTAAGTATACTATCTTTAAAATTGTAATTCATTAATTAGACCATGAAATAAAGATGCATCTCTTCCTTAGGGGGTCAAAATAAAGAGACACAAAAAATCAAAATAACAAACCAAGTTTACCTTTTTGGGCCAAACACTAGCGCCTACTTCAGGAAACACAGTGGCTCCTCCTGCTGACACGTCGCTCATCTGTAAGAGGTGAGAAAGCATCATTAAAAGTGCTGGTACACGGACGTTTGTTAAACCGAATACCAGAATGTGAGCACATCTGGAATTCTACTTACATAGGGGGTTTGTACCTGCTACTCAGTTTTTGAAAAACAAAAGATGCTGTTTAGGTTTACATACTTAAGTAAAAAAGTACACATAATAAAGTAAAGGAATAATAAAGTCAGGAAGGGAAATGGGAACATAATTTGGGACAGGCACTTCACTTATAGCTAGAGGTAAAAAGAATGAGTTAAATTTGACAAATGTAGGAATATAGAGTATAAACATATATTTTATTCTACTAGAAGATAATATCCGTGGAGCAGACACTTTCACCCATTTTGTTCATAGCTGAACTTTAGTGTCTGGAACAGTATCTCAAGATTAGTAGGTGCTTGGTAAATTAATTTAGACAAAATGGAAACTTAAAAAGAAAAATAACAATACACTAAAATCAGTTTTGTCATTTTTTGTGGTAGGGAATCAACACACATTAACTGAAAAGTAGAAGATAAAAGGTTTATATAAAGTTGGTCTCCAGGATAACCCAGAACTCAACTATGAACATTCCACATTAACTGAAGCACATGCACAAAACACGGCAAAGGAAACAAATCATATTGTGAAGGTTTTGTCAAAAGCAACGTAAATAGAAGGTACAGGCAGATGAAGACTATCACAAAGCAAAAACTAACTATATGCTATATCCAAGAGTCACATCTAAAACAAGTGAGTTACAAACACTGAAAACAGAAAAGATTTGCCAGATAAATGCTGTATCAAAGAAAAAGTTCCAACTTAATATCAGACACAGTCTAAATCAAGGTAAAAAGCATTAAGTGAGATAAAGAAGGGCATTTCACCATGAAAAATATATAATCAATAAGGAAGAACTCACAGCTCTTAACAATTAACAGCAATAAAACAAGCTAACTTTAGAGAAATTAAGAAGTTGTATTATGCAGCCTACACAGTAACAATATTTAAATAATGGGGGTGAAATGAATATTAATCTAATCAAATATATAATTAGAAGGGGGTATAATATTCAAATAATCTATACAATCTAACAGTCAAATAATCTAATCTAAATAAATATTGGACCAAATAGTATAGTATCATTATGTTCATAAAAGCAAAGAAACAGGAGAAGAAACAAATACAGCCAAAAACATCTGAAAAGATATTCAACCTCTCTAATCAGAGAAATGCAAACTAAAACCACAATAACTGCCAATCTGATAAGTGAAAGATCAAAAAGTGACAAATACATTGCACTTGCAGTTGGGATATAAATTGGTACACTCTATGGAGAGTTCATCTCTAAAAAGTATACAAGACTTGCAGTGTAAATTTTGTATAATGTACCTATCAACTTCTCTCCTGGTTTTCCCTTTGCCATAATCTGCTCATTTTAAATTCATTGATAAGTCTTAAATCCTTTTTGATCCAAAATCCTTTTTTCATGGTACCTTGAATCTTTCATTCGTATGGCATCTTAGATCTTTTTAAAGACACTACAGATGACAGGTATGGAAATAGCGAAGGAGGGACAGAGATAAGGAGGGTGAGAAGGTTGGGATGGATACAGGGAGCAAGAAATAAAAGAGCGACATTTCAGCAGTAAGTGAGATAGCAGAAGTGACATTATCTGACTTCTGAGGACAGATACTAAAAGTTCCTGTACTTCTGCTGTGTATTTCAGGGGGGATACTTGCTCTTGCATTACAGTTACCACGTGCGAGGAAGCCCAAGCCACGTGTAGGTATTCTGGCCAACTGCCAGCCTCAATGTCAGCCTTCAAGATGGATCCCAGGGCTAGTCATCATCTGACTGCGAATGCACGAGAGATCCAAAAGAACCCTGAGGGAAGTCCAGTCAACCTCACAGCCATGAAAGATTAAAATAAAGATATTTTAAACCATTCAGTTCTGGGGTGATTTGTTATGCAGCAAGAGTTAACTAGAGCAAAGATTATAATCAAATCTTAGTTTTTTTCTATATGTATGAATATATATTTAATTAAAAAAATTAAGAAATAGCTCTGGATGGTGTGGCTCAGTGGACTGAGTACCGACCTGTGAACCAAGTCCCCAGTAGGGGGCACACAAGAGGCAACCGTAAATTGATTATTTCTCTTCCTTTCTCTAAAAATAATAAAATATTAAAAAAATTAAAGAAACAAAGTTCACACTATTTTGAAACTCTGAGAAAGAATGTGAGGATGGTTTTCCTTGGTGGGGCTTCTACGGTGCTGTTTGTGCTCCTTCATCTGGATGCTGACTATCACAGATTATTATTATTATTTTTAAAGATTTTATTTATTTATTTGATTAAATAAAAATTATTTTAGAGAGGGAAAGAGAGGAGAGAAACATCAGTGTGCGGTTGCCTTCTGCATGCCCCCTACTGGGGACCTGGCCCACAACCCAGGCATGTGCCCTGACTAGTAATTGAACTGGCAACCCTTTGGTTCACAGCCCATGCTCAATCCACTGAGCTACACCAGCCAGGGCAGATTATTATTATTATTACTATATAGTTAGCATTTTCTATACTTTTATATCAGGTAAAGTTCAAAACTATAAAAATCATGTGTACTGCAGTCATCATCTGACTGCAAATGTGTAAATTCATATAGACAGAGACGCTTATATACACATAGATGACCAAACAGTCCATACTACAAAATACCAACAATGACTGTCTCTAAGTAGTGAGACTGTCAGTAATTTTAATTTTCTTCTTCAGGTTGTAATAGTACAACTTAAAGTTACAACTGAAAAAATATCGTAACTCCCTTTACTAAGTTGTAAAAACTTTAACTAAGATGTTAAATAAAAGTAAACATCTGAACACATCAAAATAAGTAAATTACATGATCAAACCCCAACTTAAAATAAAAGTTTCAGCTATAACTTACATAAAACAGCCATGTTGCAATTCTATTTCCTGTCCCCAGCTCTTTAAAAGCATCTGGCTCATCCTTCTGTAAATGAAACACAACTCATTCAGTGGTGTAAAATTCAGTAATGCAAATTCTCCAGTGGCAACTAAACATCAGTAATATGCCAAAGATTATGACAGAAACAACTCCAAAAGGTTCCTTTCTAATATTCAGTGAAGTTTATGCAGCAGTCATGCAAATATATTTGTTGGTTGTTGGTTCAACTTGTACACTGACTACTTTTGATAAGATCACTGGAGGAAAGAACCCCAGATTTACTAAGGTAAATAATAAGAACCAATAGTTACCATTCACAGATTATTTAAAAAATTACCATCTGCCCTTTTAGCTTCCAAAAGAAAAAAACAAGACATGAGCATCTCTCGCTACATTCATGAAGTCTATTCTCTGTGAGCAGAAAGTTTACCTTGAGATTTACTTTGAATTCACGATCCATTCAAATGTTTACTGCTGCTGTGACTGTCTTTCTTTAGAATAGTCAGCAATTTAATCTGGCTGCAGAATTCATATCTGGCTATTTAAATCTAAATTAAAATATAGTGTAGTCTCTTGGCATTTATCCCAGAAAAATGAAAGTATATTTTCTGCACAGAAATTTACATACTTATCTGTTAATAGCCCACAACTGGAAAGTACCTGAACACCTGTCAGAGACTGAATGACTAAAAATACTGCGATACATTCATACTATGGACAGCCACACAGCAATAAAAAGGAACACAACAGTGATACTTCCCGTTACACCTGGATAAACCTTAAGGGAATTTTACTGAATGAAATCTAAAAAGAATACATACTGTATATATAACATTCATATAACATCCATATAACATTCTGAAACAATGATTACAGGGAGATTAGTGGTTGGCAGCAGTGAGGGAAGGGAGGCACAAGGGCTTGTGCAGCTACACAGCAGTACTGCAAGGCAGTCCTGGGGTGATGGTGTGGTTATGTATCTGAGTGGTAGTTACACAAAACTACACACATAATAAAACTCCATAGACACTCTCACAAACACACACACACCAGTGCATGTGTAACTGCTGAAATATGAATCAGCTGCGTGGTTTGTGTCACTGCCAAGTTCCTGGTTCTGATAGTGTTCTGCAAGATGTTAACATGGGGCAAGGCAGAGTGAAGGGGCATGTATAAAACTCCCTGAACGTTTCTTTGCAACTTCTTAGGAACCTGTAATTACTTCAAAACAAAAACCTAAGAAAAAAATTACATTAATATAGAGACTTGTACTGTAAGTCTTTTACATCATCCAAGACCTGCAACATTTTTCAGTAATTGAAAAATAAGACTTCAACTTCCGCCAAGATGAAGGCATAGATGGAAACACTGTGCCTTCTCACACAATCAAGTTTAAAGACAACAAAGTTTTAGTAACAAAATATGCAGCCAAAACACAGAAAATTGAACTATACGGAAGTCTGACAACAATGAACCTTTTAGCCCGACCAGTAAGAGGGGCGAAGCCAGCAGCGGAGTGGGGTCAGGCAGGAAAGATCCACTGGACCGACCCAGGTGCACAGGCAGCTGTGGGCAGATCCCAGGTGTGGAGTAGCAACGGGATGACCCATGGAGGGCACAAGGCAGCAGGCTTGCTGTGGACTGCGGTTACACATTTGTGTGCAGATAAAACAGCAAAGAAGCGAGCAGCGAGACAGATCACGCAGGCCCCAGTGGCAGGAAGCAGCAGAGGGGACCGCTATTGCCCCTCTTTGACCCCGCCCCAACATACAGCATCACAAACCAGCCACCTGGGTGGCCCCGCTCTGGTTAACACCTAGGGCTCCGCCCCTCATACATAACAGGCACGAACTGACTAAAACAGGGCTCAAGAAGAACTCAAAGCCCCAGACCCACAACTCTAAGCGACGAAGAAATAGCCAAACTTTCAGATGCACAGTTCAAAACACTGGTGATCAGGATGCTCATAGAACTGGTTGATTTTAGTCACAAATTAGAGGAACAAATGAAGGCTAAACTAATTGAAATGAATGGAAATGCACAGGAAACCAATAGTAATGGAAAGGAAACTGGGACTCAAATCAAAGGAGCGGACCAGAAGGAAGAAAAAAATGACCAAACAGAAAAATATGAAGAAAGAAGTATTCAAAAAAAATGAGGAGAGGCTTAGGAACCTTCAGGACATCTTTAAACACTCCAACATCCAAATTATAAGGGTACCAGGAGAAGAAGAGGAACAGTCACAAGTGGAAAACTTATTTGAATAAATAATAAAGGAGAATTTCCCCAATCTATTGCAAAGGAAATAGACTTCCAGGAAATCCAGGAAGCTCAGAGTCCGAAAGAAGTTGGACCCAAGAAGGAACACACCAAGGCACATCATCATTACATTAGCCTAGATTAAAATGAAGGAGAGAATCCTAGAAGCAGCAAGAGCTAAGGGGACTGTCACCTACAAAGGAGTTCCCATCAGACTGTCAGCAGATTTCTCAAAAAAGACCTTACAGGCAAGAAGGGGCTGGAAAGAAGTATTCCAAGTCATGAAATCCAAGGACCTACATCCAAGATTCCTCTATCCAGCAAAGCTTTCATTTAGAATGGAAGGGCAGATAAAGTGCTTCTCAGATAAGGTCAAATTCAAGGAGTTTATCATCACCAAGCACTTATTATATGAAATGTTAAAGGGACTTACCTAAGAAAAAGAAGATAAAAAAGATGAACAGAGAAAGGACAGCAAACTCACAGTTATTAACAACCACACCTAAAGCAAAAGCAAACTAAGAGGACAGCTAGATCAGGAGTGAACCATAGAAATGAAGATCACATGGAGGGTTAGCAACAGGGGAGTGGGAAGAGAAGGGGGGAGAAGGTACAGAAAATAAGTAGCATAGATGGTAGGTAGAAAACAGACAAGGGGGGGGGGCAAGAATAGTATGGGAAATATAGAAGCTAAAGAACTTGAGCCCTGGCTGGCATAGCTCAGTGGATTGAGCGTGGGCCTGTGAACCACACAATCGCGGTTTGATTCCCAGTCAGGGCACATGCCTGGGTTGCAGGCCAATTCCCAGCAGGGGACTCATGAGAGGCAACCACATATTGATGTTTCTCTCCTTCTCTTTCTCTCTAAAGATAAATAAATAAAATTAAAAAAGAAAAAAGAAAAATCTCAACTAAACAATCTAAAAAAAAAACTTGAGACCCGTGGTCATAAACTAAAGGGAGGGAATGGTGGGGGAGGGGGTACATGGGAGAGGGGAATGAAGGGGGGAATAGAACAACTGTAATGGCATAATCAATAAAATATATTTTTTTAAATTAAAAAGAAAAAGAAAAATAAGACTTCTGACCAGGTATGTCCTATAGCCAGGAGGCATAGCTAGATACCCTTTGCCAACTTGCACAACCAAAAGAGAGACAACAACAAATTTAAAAATAAAAAACAACCAGAAATGACAGAAAATCAAACTGTATGGATGTCCTACAACCAAGGAGTTAAAGAAGAAACATTCACCCAGACTGTTAGGAGGGGTGAAGACAGGCAGCAGGGCAGAGAGGACACTTGGCAAGGTGCTAGCTGGCTGACTGGGTGAGGCAGGGCTGGTGGACCAGGTGGTCCTATATTTGCATGCAGATAAACTGGGAGGAATAACTGGTGAGAGAGACAAACCTTGCAACCCAGGGTTCCAACCTGGGAAAGTAAGGCCTCAAAATTGCTAGCTGTAAAAACCTATGGGGGTTGCAGTGGTGGGAGAAATTCCAGCCTCACAAGTGAGTTCATTGGAGAGACCCACTGTGTCCTATCATGTACACAAACTGCCCACTTGGGAATCGAAATCAGAAGGGCCCAATTTCCTTATGGGAAGTGGGGGAAGTGACTGAAAGCCAGCTGAGAGCCGAGTAAGCAGCACTGTTCCCCCACGAACCACTCCCCCACATACAGAGCCACATCCAAGTGAGTAGCCCTGCCCTGGAGAAAACTAAGGCTCTGCCCCTTACAACAGAACACATGTGCCAAGACAAAAAAATATGACCCAAATGAAATAACAGATCAAAGCTCCAGAAAAATAACCAAGTGATGAGGAGATAGCCAACCTATCTAACGCGGAGTTCAAAACACTGGTAATCAGATGCTCATAGAAATATTTGAGTATGGTCACAAAATAGAGAAACAAGTGAAGGCTATGCAAATGGCAATAAAGGAAAATGTGCGGGGAACCAACAGTGACAGGAAGGAAACCTCAACTCAAATCAACAATAATCTGGAATAGAAGAAAGACATAAACATATAACCAGAACAGAATGAAGAAACAAGAATTTAAAAAATGAGGAAAAGGTTGGGAATCTCCTGGACAACTTTAAATGCCCCAACATCCGAATCATAGAGGATGCCAGAAGGAGCAGAGGAAGAGCAAGACATGGAAAACTTATTTGAAAAAATAATGAAGAAGAACTTCCTCAATCTAGCAAAGGAAATAGGCTCCCAGGAAGTCCCGGAAACTCAGAGTCCCAAAGAAGATGGACCCAAGGAGGGACACACCAAGGCACATCATAATTACATTACTCAAGGTTAAAGAGGAGAGAATCTTAAAAGCAGCAAGAGAAAAGGAGACAGTTACCTACAAAGGAATGCTCATAAGACTACTGGCTGATTTCTCCAAAGAAACCTTGAAGGCAAGAAGGGGCTAGACAGCATCATCCTAATCCCAAAACCAGATAAAGATACAACAAAGAAAGAAAACTTCAGGCCAATATCACTGATGAACATAGTCAATAAAATCCTCAATAAAATATTGGCAAATCACATCCAACAATACATTAAAAAGATCATATACCATGACCAAGTGGGATTCATCCCAGGGATGCAAGGATGGTTCAATATTCGCAAATCAGTAAATGCAATACATCATATAAACAAAAGCAAAGACAAAAATCACATGATCATATCAATAGATGTGGAAAAAGCTTTTGATAAAGTACAACACCCATTTATGATAAAAACACTCAGCAAAGTGAGAATAGAGGGAGCATTCCTCAATATAATAAAGGCCATATATGAGAGACCTATAGCCAACATCTACTCAATGGGGAAAAACTAAAATCTTTTCCACTAAGATCAGGAACAAGACAAGGTTGTCCACTTTCACCACTTCTATTCAATATACTATTGGAAGTTTTAGCCACAGCGATCAGACAAGAAAAGGAATAAAAGGCATCCAAATGAGAAAGAAGGAAACAAAACTGTCACTGTTTGCAGATGACATGATAATGTATATGGAAAATCCTATAGACTCTACCCATAAACTGCTCAACCTAATAAATGAATTTGGCAAAACAGCAGGATACAAAGTCAATATCCAGAAATCAAAGGCATTTTTGTATACCAACAATAAAAAAGCATAAGCAAAATTCAAGGGAAAAATCCCATTTGATATAGCAAAAAGAAAAATAAAATATCTGGGAATAAACCTAACCAAGGAGGTAAAAGACCTGTATGCAGAAAACTACACAACACTGAAGAAAGAAATCAAGGAAGACACAAATAAATGGAAACATATACCATGTTCATGGATTGAAAGAATTAACATCATCGAAATGTCCATACTACCCAAAGCGATTTACAGATTCAATGCAATACCTATTAAAGTACCAATGGCATACTTCACAGATATAGAACAAACACTTCAAAAATTTATATGGAACCATAAACGACCTCGAATAGCAGCTGCAATTTTGAGAAAGAACAACAAAAAGTAGGAGGGATCACAATACCTGATATCAAAATGTATTACAAGACCACTGTAATCAAAACAGCCTGGTACTGGCAATAAAAGCAGGCACATAGACCAATGGAACAGAACAGAGAGTCCAGAAATAAACTCAAGTCTCTATGGTCTATTAATATTCAACAAATGGGGCAGCAACATAAAATGGACTAATAATAGCCTCTTCAACAAATGGTGTTGGAGAGAAATATAGAAGCTAAAGAACTTGAGACATGTGGACATAAACTAAAGAGGGGTATTGTGGGGGAGGGGGAGTGCAGGGTGGAGGGGAATGAAGGAGTGAAATAGGACAACTGTAATGGCATAATCAATAAAATATATTTAAAAAAGAAAAAGAAGATAAAAAATATGAACAATAAAGAGACAGCAAAGAGAAATGGAGATCACATGGAGGGCTATCAGCAGGGGAGTGGGAGGGGAAGAGAGGGGGAAAGGGTACAGAGAATAAGTAGCATAGACAGTAGGTACAAAATAGACAGGGGGAGGTTAAGAACAGTATAGTAAATGGAGAAACCAAGGAACTCATATGTACAACCCATGAACATGAACTAAGGGTGAGAGGTGGGGGGATGCTGGTGGGGGGGTGCAGTATAGAGGGGAATAAAGGGGAAAATGGGACAACTTAATAGCATAATCAATAAAATATACTTGAGAAAAGAAAAATAAAGTTCAGTTTAGAAAATTAAAAAAGAAAAATAGAAAAAAAAGACTAAAAATATATTCTTTGCTGGTCTACATAGAAAAATAATCTAAGATTATGAGATTAAGACAATAATAGTTGGCCCTGGCTGGTATAGCTTAGTGGATTGAGTGTGGGCCTGTGACCCAGAGTATCGCAGTTCAATTCCTAGTCAGGGCACATGCCTGGGTTGCAGGCCAGTTCCCAGCAGGGGACACATAAGAGGCAACCATACATTGATATTTCTCTCCCTCTCTTCTTCCATTCCCCTCTAAAGATAAATAAATAAAATATTTTTTAAAAAGACAGTCAAGAGTTATAACAGAATATACAGAGTGTATTTTCTTTCAAGAGAATAAACCCTTATTTAAAAATAGTAACAGATCAAGAAATTTATTAAAATACCCTGCACATTTTTTGGAATTCTTGTAATTACAATAAATCTTAAATTAAGATTAGGTAATGCCATACTTTATAGCTCAATATGTAAAATCAAAAAGGTTCAATATTTATTAATCTTAAGTAAGAGTACTTGGGCAATAATAGTTTTTTGCAAATTGCTTTTATATTATTCTCCAGTCTCTTCATATCTATTTTGTATATTTTATCTTCCTGTCTCTCAAAATGTATTCTTGTAATTTCTTCAGTTTTATCAGCCAATTCACTTGTTCACCTCATCTGTCTCTAATGTGTTTTAACTTACCCACTAAACTTTAAATCCTAACAATTACTTTTTTCAGCTAGAATTTCTCTTTGTTTTTAAATATGTTAAATCATTTTGAAAGCTTATTAATTTTATCCTATCTTTTATTTTTCACGTTATATAGTTATGTTATATTCTGCACCTGACGATTCAAGTGTCTTAACATCCTAGAGGCGTCTCATTCTGTCGGTTGCTTTAGTCTCACCAACAGTGCCTTCTTACTACTTAGTAATTTTTTAAAAAATTAGTTCACATTTAGCTGAACTTAATCTTTAAAATTCCCAAGGTGCTAGAATGAGGATGTGTCTCTTCAGGGAGCCAAGTACCAAGGACACTACTAAGCTAACAACTTTAAATTAATGTCTCCTCTTCCAGGGTAGTAAAAATTCAAACTCGAGCTCCATGTGAGGGCGGGCCCAGGCCTTCAAACTCCCAGCAGAAGCTGCCTATGCACACTGCACTCCAGCCAGGACGGTGAGAGACATGTGTCCTGAAGGCTCCTGACTCAGCGGATTGTTGTCAAAGCCATTCTGTCTTGCTCGGAAGGTGGAATCCTTTTGGAGATTGAGGTTTTATGCAGGAGTCTCAGGTTCAATAACCTGCACTATGGCAGGTCCTCTCATAGAGCTGTTCACCCCCAAACTCTAGATTCCTGGAAATACATGCCACCAGCCTCAGTGTTTTTTACCCCCCATCAACACTCTAATTTTAGTCTAGGTTTTCTTTGTCCAGTTTGCTTTTGGTAATTTCCTGTTTCTTCCAGGTATATTGATGCATTTAAAAGCATTCTAAATTATTTTCCTGTGTATCTAGGTTTGGTGTTTTTTTTTACTGTTAAAAAGGCTTTACAGAGTATTTATTCCACCGTCCTTCCATGAATTACAAATAGGTTATGAATTTTTAACACTAAAGAACAGAATTCCTACTGTTTCTACTTACCCGTGCAAAATCAAAATGCGGTTCATACTGTCCTCCCACTCCATAATTTGCTACCTGAAGGAGAGAGACAAAGCATGAACGAAAACTACCAAGATTACTATTTAAAAATCTATGAGCCCCATTTTGGCCTCCTACATTATCATGGTTAGGTACTTCTAGAGAAACGAGAAGCAAAGCATTTTGTGTTATTTTATTTTATACTCACCTGAGAATATGCTTAGAGAGAGCAAGGAAGAGAGGAAGGGGGAGGGATGGAGGAAGGCCGGGTGGGGGCTTGGGGAGAAGAGAGGCTGGAGTAGGAGGGGGGAAAGAAGGAAACATCCATCAGTTGCCTCCCATACACACCCTGACTTGGGGATTGAACCCACAACTTTTTAGTGTATGAGATGATGCTCCAATCAAGCCATCCAGCCACGGTGAGAAGCAAAACACTTGAAATCAATGAGAGTTCCTAAGTAACCACTGATAAAAAGCATGGATAGCTACTGTATGCTATTTGAGAACATTTGTGAATAGGCTTTTCTTTAAGCAAATGTTGGGATGCATGTTTTTCTCTAATATATAACAAACTAAAAGTTGAATTAGAATTTTAGAGTTAAAATTTTCTAAAACTAGAATTATGAGATTTCTATGATTAATTTTCACTAAACATTTCCTTTTGGAATTTAAATCAAGGCATGTTTTGCAAACCTCTAAATGCTGGCAAACTCCCAATATACTTTCATAAAATCCCTTTCCCACATAGTTTCCCTACTAAAGTGAAAAAAGGGAAGAAGTTAACACCAACTGCCTTATTCAGGGCTCTAACAACTTCAGTTGGCTCTGACAATGTACTAGTATGACATAGCAAAAAGAAGTTAAGAAAAATATTTGGTCTGAGTTCAAGTTTCAGCTTTCTCAGTTACACTGTATGTAACTTTGTATATAACCTCAATTTCCTTACTTACACTGTAAGAAAAATGACACCTTCTTTTACTCCCTCCTTCCATCCCAATATGGTAAAATGCTGACAAAAATGAAAGAATCATGTAATTTAAAGAGTAATGTTGAAGATATGACATGAGAACATAATTTAAAGAGTGTTACCCACAGTAAAACCCAAGTTCTAGCTAAATTATTGTCACTCTGGATATTTTACTACTTTTTAAAAAAAATCCTCAACTGAGAATATGTTTATTGATATTAGAGAGGAGAGAGGGAGGGTGGAAGAGAGAATCACCAATTGGTTGACTCCCATACATGCCCCAATGGGGAAATGAACCAGCACCCTAGGTATGTGCCCTGACAGGGAATCGAACCCACAGTCTTTTGGTGTACAGGACAATGCTCCAACCGAGCCACCTTGTCTTATATTATAGATACCTTGAGTTGGATCAGCCTATTAAAAAGAAATACATCAAGTAGCCTGAAAGAGCCTGTGAAGTCTAAGCAGATGAAAATAAATGCAGATCAGGAAAGAAAAAGACACACACAGCAAAGACTTTCTAATAATCAGATAAATACCAAGGAAATTGTAGATTACCATGGAATGGCAACTTAATTAAACAAATTTAAATATAGGCTGTCCTGCTTTGCCCAATTCCAAAATGTACAAATCTCAGATAACATGGTTTAGCTAAGCATTAACACTAGAACCTGACAACACAGTTGAAACTTCAGTTACCGTGGTATATTCATTTTGAGTAATGCATGACTTCATGCATTACTGCTTCAAATGTCACTGCTAGGTCTTCAGTCCACAGACTGCTAAGTCAGTAAGAGCTACACATCAAGATCATTACCAATCACCTCAGTTCTTTCAAAGTCTATCAGTGATCAGTCACTGCACATCTATTACTCAGTCTGAATAACATACAGTATAAATAACGTACAGACAGCAAATCACGTGGTTATGTTGCCACCTTATCTCCCAGTGAGAACCCATGTGATATTTTATGAAAATGTATTATTGGAAAAGGAATTGATCAATAAAGGATGACTGAGAAATGTAAAGGAATAATGCTTTAAATTAAATTCAAATCAAACTTAAGTGGAGATATAGAAGAAATAGCTACATGAAATGCTTCCACTTTTGCTATTCAAAAAACTACACTTACTTTGAAGATGGCTGCAGAGTAGATAGAAGCTACACTCACCTCCCAGAACCAAACCAGATGTACAGCTAAATTATAGTGCAATCAACCTGAATAACCTGCTGAAGGTGAGATGAACAGAAGTATTATAATCAAGGATCTAAAGAAGTCACATAGAGACTGTAGAAAGAGCAAACATACAAAAAGGGCTGGCTCCTGCACCCACCTGTGGTTGTTGATAATCTAGAGAGATATCTCAGCTGCAAAAGCTCTACTTGAGGAATGTGGGGTTTGAACCCCATGCCAGGATCCCTAACCTAGACCACCAGAACTGGGATGAGGAGCCTGCATAACATCTAGTTGTGAAAATCAGCGGGGGACTTCTGTCTGACTGAAAGAGAAGGGAGTCTGCTAGAAACCCAGGTGCTCTCTTAAAGGGCCAGTGCATATAATCTTGCTCTTAGACACTTCACCTGGGGCTCAGGTAGAGGGAAGGCAACCCAGGGAATATAGGAGTCATAAAGAGAAGATCTGGGTGGTATGACCCCAAGGAGAGATCTGTAGGGTCAGCCACCGAAGTCCCTGTGCTGAGTCCCTATCCCATACCACCCTCAGGTGCCACCTTCTCAGGGTGACCCACTCCTATTCTACAAGCACCAGCTGGGGAGTGCACTAGCCCAAACTTTCAACTACTGGTGACACCACCCTGCCAAGCTCTAGTCTTGCAGAAAGGTCTGCTGGGTGCACCCAACAGGGAACTTTGGGGGTGCTCTTTTTCTGGAGAAACTCTTGGTGGAGACTCAGTTATTGAGCTCTGCAGCTTTGAAAAGGAAGCCATTCTTCCCCTACTTGCACACTCAGCTAAAGCCCCCCCCCACCTGATGATTCTCTTGGCCTGTCCTTCTGACTCCCAGTGGCCCTGCCCTACTGAGCTCAGTCCCACAGGGGGCTCAGAGGGATGCTCAGAGCTGGGACCTTCAGAGCACACCCGCCCTGGGAGGCTCCTGCTCAGGGCTCAAGATGGGCACTGGGTTGTGTAGCTACCATGCAGGGGGCCATTCTTACCTGCATCCCCTGCAAGCTCAACTGGCACCATTCCCCTAACAGAAGACTCATTTGATCAGTCTTTCTGACTCCTGGGGGCTCCACCCAGCTAAGCTTGCTCCTGCAGAGGGGCTGACTGGCTGCATCCTTTCCTAAACCTGTGGGGTACTCCTCCTGGGGGAGCTAGGGTTAGCGATTCTGACAGACTGAGTGGTATGGTTTGGAGTAGGGGCCATTTTACCACCATTAAGTGCGTGGCTGTGCTGCCCCCAAGCAGGAGACCCACTCACTAGCCCTGTCCCCCCAACTCCAGTCACCTGCCCTATTGAGTTTGTACCTTGTGGAAGAGTCTTGGGTGGCAGCCAGCCAGGGTCCACTCTATGTACTTTCTCCAGAAGGCCCTCAAGGTAGATTGGGAAGCCTCAGAGGGTGACAAAGTGGCCAACAAGTAGATGTTGACCTTAGGGTGCCTTGGACCATTGATTGGTCTGACCCCAGCTCAGAGCTGGAGGAAGCCAACCCTTGTACACAACTTGGCCCCTCCCCCACATACCTAGGCCCAGAAGAGGCAGCCACACATATCAAATTGCATGGTAGCTCCAGACAGGTAGCCCAGGCAGCATCTGACATCAACCTGCAGTGGAACCCTGCCCAAGTGGACCCAGAACAGACACAACCAGTGGTGAGCTTTAGACCACACTGGAGTTCACCCAACTAGCCACACAATCCACACATCCAAAGACAGTTCCTGGCAGGCACCAGACCCTGCTGGGAACAACTCTACCTCAGGGGACAGCCCCTGCACAGCAGTTCATACACTGTGATTGAGGTCTATCCTTACAGTCAACAGCATTCAAGACTCAACTACAACAGGATGGCACATATAACCCACACAAAAGATACTCCTGCACCACCCAGCTCAGGGGAACTGGAAGACCGAGCCACTGAGCTCCATAAGTCACCTACAACATAAAACCACTAAAACAAGTTTGAAAGATCTACCTAATACACAAACACAAAAAGGCAGACAAAATGGGGAGACAAAGAAATGTGCCCCAAATGAAACAACAAGCAAATCCCCAGAAAAGCAATGAAATGAAATGGAAGCAACAAAATGCCAGATGCAGAGTTTAAAACGATGATTACAGGATGCTTAAGGACCTTAGGCAAAGAGTGGATGATAGTAAGAACTTAAGAACAAAGAGATAGTAAGCATTAAAAAAGACATAAGAACCATAAAAAAGAACCAGTCAGAATCAAAGAATACAATATCTGAAGTGAAGAATATACAAGAAGAAATCAACAGCACGTTATGAAGCAGAGGATCAAATCAGTGATTTAGAGGACAAGATAACAGGAATCACCCAAGCAGAGCAACGAAAAGAAAAAAGAATTTAAAAAATAAGGAAAGTCTAAGAGACCTCTAGGATAACATCGCGCATAATTCATGCACATCACAGTGGTACCAGAAGGAGAAGACGGACAGCAAGGGATCGAGAACTTATTTGAAGAAATAATGGCTGAACATATCCCTAACCTGGTGAAGGAAAAAACATTCAAGTCCAGTAGGCACAGAAAGTCCCAAACAAAATGAACTCAAACAGCCCATACCAAGACACATCCTAATTAAAATGTCAAAGGTTAAAGAAAAAGAGAGAATCCTTAAAGCAGCAAGAGAAAAGCAGTAGTTACCTACAAGAGAGCTCCTGTAAGACTGTCAGCTGATTTCTCAACAGAAACATTCCAGGTCAGAAGGGAGCAGCAAGAAATACTCAAAGTGATAAAAAGCAAGGACCTACAACCAAGATTATACTACCCAGCAAGGCCATCATTTAGAATTGAAGGACAGATAAAGAGCTTCCTAGACAAGAAAAATCTTAAATGAGTTCATCACCACCAAACCAGTATTACAAGAGATGTTAAAAGATTTTAAGAAAAAGGAAAAACATAAAAAAATATGAATAATATAATGGTAGTAAATACATATCTATCATTCACACGTTCACTGCAACATTATGTACCATAGCCAAGTTACAGATGCAACCTAAGCGTCCATCAGTAGATGACTGGATAAAGAAGTGGTGCATATGTACAACGGAATATGATATATGACTCAACCATAAAAAAGAATGAAATCTTCCCTCAGCAACAACATGAATGGGCCAGAGGATATCGCGTTAAGTGAAATAAGTCAGAGAAAGACAACAGCCATATCATTTCACTCAAATGTGCAATCTAAAAGAGAAGATAAATAAACACAGCAGAACAGAAAACAGACTCCTAGATACAGAGAACATTTTGATGGCTGCCAGATGGGAGGGGGATTAGGGAGGTAAGTGAAAAAGGTGCAGGGAGTAAGGAGTACAAATCGGTAGTTACAGAATAGTCACAGGGATGGGAAGTACGGTATAAAAAAACATAGCCAATTACATTGTATGTATGGTGTCAGATGGGTACTAGATTTATCAGGTTGTTCACTTCATAAATTATGTAAGTGTCTAATCACTGGGTTGTATACCTGAAGCTAATACAGTATTGTATATAAACTGAATTAAAAAGTAAAAAATTATTAAAAGGAAAAAGTTTTTAAAAAGTATATGGAGGTGCCCTGGCTGAGTGGCTCAGTTGGTTGGAGTGTCATCCCATACACCAAAAGGATGTGGGTTCAATCCCCAGTGAGGGCACATACCTAGGTTGCAGGTTCAAACCCTAGTGAGGGCACTCACAGGAGGCAACTGATAGATGTTTTTCACTGTCTCTCACTCTCCACCCCTTCATCTCTCACTAAAATCAATAAACATATCCTTGGGTGATGATTTTAAAAAATAACTAAGTTGAAGAAAAAAAATGTGGCATTCACTAGAAGAGGTCAAAATCACAACATTAACAGCAGTTTGGAAGAAGCAGATTGCAACCCTCATGGATGACTTTAAGGCATTCAAGACTCCAGTGGAGGAAGTTACTGCAACTGTGGTAGACAAAGTATGAGAACTAGAATCAGTAGCACCTGAATATGTGACTAAAGTGCTACAATCTGATGATAATGAGATACTGCAATCTTAGGAGTTGCTTCTCATGGATGAGCAAAGAAAGTGGTTTCTTCAGATGGAATGTACTCCTAGTAAAGTGCTATGCAGATTGTTGAAGTGACAACAAAGGATTTAGGATATTACAAATACTTAGTTGATCAAGCAGAGGCAGGGTCTGAGAGGACAGACTCCAATTTTGAAAGAAATTCTACTATGGTTAAAATGCTATCAAACAACACCGCATGCTACAGAGAAATCATTCGTGAATGGAAGAATCTATAACATGGCAAACTTCGTTGCTGTCTTATTTTAATAAACTGCCACGGCAACCACCGCTCTGGTCAGTTAGCAGCCATTAGCACTCAAGGCAAGACCCTCCAACAACCAACAAAAAGACAGATGAAGGCTCGGATGAGTGGACATTTTCTAGCAATAAAGTATTTTTAAATTAAGGAATATACACTGCTTTTTTTAGACATAATGCTACTGCACACTTAACAGGCTATAGTATAGGGTAAGCATAACTTTTATATGCACTGGGAAACCAAAAAACTGTTGTGAGGTCACTTTATTGTGATATCTGCCTTATGCTGTGATCTGAAACCAAAACCACATCTGCAAGGTATGCCTGCACTTTCAGTAGCTGAGCTTTCTTCCTGGCATGATGAAAATGTTCTGGATTTAGACAGCACTAGTGGTTGCACAGCCGTGGAAATATAATAAAACCAGGGCAAATTTTATGGTATATGAATTATATCTCAATAGAAAAAATTAAATATATAAACATATATATATATTTAAGAGAACCGCCTCAGTTACCTAACAGCACTAGGAATGGAAAAAAAGAAAATATTATAGTGTACTTAATATTAGTGTCACATATTTTTATTTCCCTATAAATTTATACTCAACAGGAAGAGTTTTTAATGTTTTGATGAATTTTAACACAGAACAATTATCATTTTCTCACTGCTTATTAAAATCACTGCTTTGCTGAGCTCAGCTTGACTACTCACTCTTACAGTCCCAGCCTGTCATGCAGACTGAGTGCTGCCTCTGCAGTATCAGGGAATCTCATCTGAGGCATTTTTTTCAGTGACTGTAAAGATAACTTAAGGATAATGTGACGGTATATAATTCAAGGATAATGTAATTACCCACCTGCAACTCCTCTGCTGTGGAAACATCTAGTCCTGTCAGGTCTTGTATTCTCATATTAATTCGAGACACCACAGGGTTTTCATAACCAGAGAGCCAGGCACTAAGAACAAGAAGAAAATACTAGTTTTACTGCTGTTTCAATACATGAATACACCTGCCATTTAAAAAGCTATTATATATGGGACAATAAGCCTTTAGGCATTTAGTTGATTTGCTTGTCTAATATGATTTTTACTAATGAGTGTTGAAATTTCAAAAAGATGTTATATTTTACAGTTAGAAGTTAGAAAGGAAAAAAGGATCTCATTTATTATAGTTTCGATGAAAATAGTTGGATTAATGTCAGAAGGCTATATAGGACTATTTACAGTGAGATTTTTTTAATTCTGGAAAAATCTATACCAAACTTAACATAATTGTTCTTTCTAGGTCAGGAAGAAGAACTGACTGGGGTGGAGGTCATAAGGTTTCAGGCCTGATTTATATAACGCTAACATAAGAAAAAAATACTCTTGTATTACTTGCATTAATTTTTATGAGTACCCAAATGCACCCAATAAGATGGGTATAGTAAAAAGATGGACAATGATAAGTGTCAGCAAGGAAGTGAAGACACTGGACCCTCGCAGCTGCTGGCAGAACGGTAAAGTGGTGCATCCACGCTGGAAAACAGCTGGACAACTGAAGTTGTTAAACACTGAGTTACCACCAGACTCAGCAAATGCACTCCTCGGGATATACCCAAGAGAAATTATAAAAACTTGTACGCCAATGTTCATAGCAGCATTATTAATGGCCAAAAAATGAAAATAATCCAAATGTCTATCAATTGATGAATAGATACGTAAAATATGGTACAACCAGGTTCTGGATTATTATGCTTTAAAAAGGAATAAAGTAATGATGCTGCTAATGTGGAAGAACCTTGAAATCATCGTGTTATGTAAGATAAACCAGATATGAAAGGCCACACATTATGATTCCATTTATATGAAATGTCCAAAATAAACAAATTGATAGCTACATAAAGTAGATTAGTGGTTGCCAGGGGAAGAGGGAATGAGGGGACTCCTAATGGGTACAGGATTTCTTTGGGGGGGTGATGAAAATGTTCTGGAATTAGATAAGCGCTGCACAATAAAGAAGACTAAAAACCACTGAACACTTTAAAAGGATGAATTTTATAGTATGGAAACCATAGCTCAATAAAATAAAAATAGTCCCCAAATTCAAGTATCTCCTTTACATATGCCTTTTCCCAGTCTATTAGCCTTGTTCTTTCTTCACCTCTCCTTTCATCAAGCTTTGACTGCATGACCCACAATTTTAGCAACATTCCTGCTGAGAGCTACAATTCTACTATCTGGTAAATAAACAATCCTGAATAGACTTTTTCCCTCCAAACTTAAAACCTGCGTCACAAAACCATACTGAAGAAAGTCATGAAACAGAGTGGATATGCTCCACTAGAAATAAATGTACACCAACCTCAAATGGGCCCTTCCTCTTACCCCCTCCTATATTCTGAACCCCAACACACCTCAGCCTCTTCCTTCATTCAGTAGCATATCTCCTACCTCCCACAGAAAATGGAAACCATATAAACTACCTACATTTACATCTATCTGTTTCTTTTAATTCACTCTAGTTCCTTCATTCCAGTTGCAAGAGATTTCTCTCCATTATCTAAGGCTAACCCCCTGCCTTAGTTTCTACTATCTCCTGCCTTTTTAGGAACCATAAATCACTGACTAGCACTTCTGTTGTACAATCAACTTCTGTTCTCAATAATTCCTCCCATAGCTTTTAACTGAGCTTAAGTCTCTCCCATTAAATAAGTACAAATTTAAGTTTTCTCAACTCTCCATCTCCCTCCAGTTACCAACCTTTCTCCTCTCTCTTCAAGTCAACTTTTCAACAGACTGATTTCTCAATGTATTCCATCAAAACTTTTGTTAATATTACCCATTACCCTACTGTGCTACTGAATCTTACAAGCTTTTCTAATTCTCATTGTATGTGCTCTTTCAGTAACATATCCCAATATTCATCCACCTTAAAACTCTCCTCCTCACTCACTCATTCTCCAGGTGTCCCTTCAGTCTCTCTGGCTACTCTGTCTGGGCTCCCTTACAGCCTCTGCCACTGTCCTCTGCCTCTCCCAGTGCCCCAGCAACACTTTAAGAACTTTTCCTGTAGCTCTAAGGCTAGTGCACACGCTCTTCTCTTTGCCCCGAATGTTCTTTTTCACTTTGCAGAGTGAAACCTTTGGATTATCACTTTGGTCATCTCTTCTTCCCTGGTTCTTCCTCATGCCAGACTAGGTCAGAGCTTTTTGTGGTTGTTGTGGGGGTTGGGGGTGGGAATAGAGGAAGGAGGAGGACGTTTTTTGTTGTTTAACTAATTATGACATTAAAATGACATGAAATGTTATTAAAAGTTAAGCCAGGACAAATAACACTGCTGTAAAATTTATATTTCTCACATCCATTTCAGAAGAAAATATATTAGGATTTTTTTTCATGAACTGATTTCAGGAACATTTTCTCAAACTGTGCTGAGAAGTAGTCAGAAAGGCAATTATAATAACTGGCAGGATTAAGACTGTTTTATGAAAAATTAAAAACCACATCTGGTTTTTAGCTGTTATATCAATGTACCTTTCTCAATGCTGAGGCAATTGTTCGCTGTGCCACAATGATTAGCAAGTTCCTTCTTAAGTAACAAATAATTGTTTAAGACAGAGAGTTTTCTAATTTTGCCCTCTTTTGGAGCACAAGCAAATCTTTGTCTTTTGTGTATATGTAGGAAAATGTTATAAAATGAAGCTGTTATAATCTTCTAAATTTCCCCTCACAATTAAACAGTGGCAATTAATTATGATTAGGTATATGTTTGCAACACTTTTAGTTTTTGAAATAGCAAGGCTTCTAAATAACTTCTCAAAACTAGCTTTCCATTTTGGTACATATTTGATAACATTACACACTTGATTTGTTTTTCATAATTTCTTCTATTGACTACCGTACCCTTAATAAGGGTTAGTGATTTTAAACAATTTTTACATATTCTAGATGTTGAGTTCCATTTTATTGAACTGAGTTTTTCTTCACTCGTATACTTACAGGAGGTAATTTGAGCACACACATATGTGTATATATATATTTAAAGTAAGTTACTTTTACCACGAAAATAAAACTAGACTACAGGGCCAACAGGAAGAAATAATTTATGTTCCTTAGAAATCCTTTTCTAGGTTGAGGTGGGTAAGTATTGTTTGTTGAAGAAATTGATGAGGCTACAGTCTTTTTATCATCTGTTAATCCCACACTGCCACATCTTACCACCTACACCCATGTCCACTCAGTAGCACTAGTCTCTTAGAGCAATGTGTATCAGAAACAGATAATGACTTTAGCATCCAATGCTATTTGCATCTTTTGATAACCCTCTCTCTCTCACTTTGTGCCCAATCGTGGTATCAAAGTTAAGTATCAACAAAGCTGAAGAGTATCTTCCTCTGTAGAACACCCAAGTAATAGTTTCTGTGCCTCCTTGAAAAACCTTCAAGGAGTACACCTTCATTCCAACCTCCCTGCATTTCCTAACTACTGAAACTACATCTTCAGAGAATGCTGCCCTCCCCGTGTAGCCCTGCCATTATTTCAGTACCATGGTCCTTCAGTCTAGAAACACCTGCCAGCACATGTCATCCACCCCATTCCCAGACGCTACAGGATTCAGAATATCCCAGTCCAGTGGGAATCCTCTTCAGCCTATTTCCTCAAAAGATTGAGGTGTTGCTGGCACTCTGCTTCTGTAAGAAGCATCTTTGCCTGCATATATGCCTAGCATTTTTCCTTAATGTAATGAAATAAAATGTTCTTCATACCTTTGATATCTAATGGGATCACAGTGACTTTGGTAGGCACCTGCTAGATGCTACTGTGGGAATCACCCCAGTGGTTGGGAGGATAAAGAATGGTGGCCGCTGTACCCCTAGAACAATCTTGGGTTGCTAACAGCCCCCCATGAATCTCAGAACTGGCAACTGCCTGCAGTCTGAAGCACTTCAAGAAGAGACTACCTTCATGCACCTGAAAGTAGAGCAGGCAGCCGCCACTCATGTTTATATAGTTCTCTATTATCCTTCCTTTGTACCATTTACCACAGTAATTACACAGTAATTTGTTATTTAATTAAGGTAAGATGTCTTCATTTAACTACTAGTTCCAAATACATATAAATTCTGCCTGGTTTAGCTCATCACTATATCTGCAGAACCTATTACAGTGCCTGGCACACAGGAGATGCTCAAGAATATTTGCTGAATGAATGCATCTAGAACTAATCTAAGATTTACTCTACCATAATTATTTGTCTGGTGGTCTCTTGCAAATTTGTAGGGACTGGCTGAGTACACTTCCTCAGTGTAGCAGAAACAGGAAGGATTCAAGAATTTTATTGTTACAAAGGATATAGCTGATAAATATACTAAAAATTTATTGCTCCTGAGACTTCTGGCCAAGATGGAGGCATAGGTAGGCACACTGTACCTCATCGCACAACCCAAATAAGGACAATCAAAATTTATAAACAAAAAAATGAATACTGACAGAAAACTGAACTGTATGGAAGTCTGACAACCAAGAAGTTACAATAGACAAATTCATCCAGACCGGTAGGAGGGTCAGAGTCAGGCAGCTGGGCCGAGAGGGGTCACAGCAAAAAAGGCGGGATGTGGACGGGCAAGGCGCGCAAGGCGGCTGGCAAACCAGGCGGTCCCACATTCCCACGCAGATAAACCAGGTGAAACTAGGAGTGAGACAGACCACACAACCCAGGGCTCCAGCCTAGGGGAAATAAAGCCTCAAAACACAGATTGAAAATACCTGTGGGGGTTGAGGTGCAGGGAGATACTCTCAGCCTCACAGGAGAGTTCAATGAAGAGACCCACAGGGTCCCAGGATGTACACAAACCCACCCACACAGGAATCAGCACCAGAAGGGCCCAATTTGCTTGGGGGAAGTGACAGAAGGAACTGAAATCCAGCAGAGAGTGGAGCAAATGCCACTGTTCCCTCTCGGACCTCTCCTTGA